TTGAAATGTAGTGACACTTGAACGTGTCATCTGGTTGCTGGGGGGTCAGATGAATGAATGGATGAATGAATGAATAAATGAATGAATGAATGAATGAATGAATGAATGAATGAATGAATGAATGAATAAATGAATGAATGAACGAATGAATGAGTAGATGAATGAATGAATGAACGAATGAACAAACGAATAAATGTTTGACTGATTAAATTATTAATAATTAAGTGATTAATTTGTAAAAACTCTAATTAAATATTAAGAAATGTAAACTTTATTTTGGCTCAAGTTACTGAGCAGGTCCTGCCTATCCATATTTGTTATGTACAATGTTAAGTAAGACAGGGCGAAAGCTGACGCTGTGTGGGAGATGATGATAATGACGACGATGATGATGATGATGGCGTGTTCTTGATGATGATGATGGCGTGTTCTTGATGATGATGATGATGACGATATCTGATGATGATGATGATGACGATAATTGATGATGATGACGATGATGATGATGATAATGACGATGATGATGATGATGATGACGACAAACATCTCCACCATTACTAACATGTACTTACAACTGCTCTGGTAAAATCCTTCCTCTCTTTATAGCTGACAATACCTTCGAAATGAAATTATCTTTAAAACAAATTGCCATAATTAATAATTATAATTAATGATAATAATTAATAATAATAACTATTATTATTACCATAAATAATTATTTATAATATTTTTAATAATTTTTTTTACCTCCGTAATATTTACGCTTCTCGGCTATCCAGAAAATAGCGTTCTTCTTATTAACAGAAAATTTAACTGAAAAATTTCAAATAATAATAATAATAAATTATATTTATAACAACTAATAATAATAATAATTATAATAGTCATTTATATAGCGCCCTTCACAGATATACGCTGAAAACAACGCATCATATACAAGGGAAGGGATGAACTTCGGAGCTCTTTGCTTTCGAATCCAGTCATTTTATTCCCAAAGCCAGACACTTTACCACAAGGCTATTCACTAGAAATGACAGTTTCCAATACTAACATAATGCATCTCCGTTTCTCCCGCCAAAAAGAATGACGTCCATTTTATAAGCACTTTCGTTTAAAAGGTCCGCAGATTCGTTTATTAGAACTGTTACGTATGAAACGGCACGTGATTGGCTGCATTCAAATATCGACTCGTTCGTTGATTGGTCAATTTGAGTGAAGGTACAGCTCTTTCCGAAAGCTTTCGTGTCTGAATGGTTGTTTCTGAATAAAGGCTCCGAGCCCAGATAGAAACTGACAACTTGTGATGGCATTGGTTTAGCTGGGGTTGTTTGATTGGTTGGTTGTTTGATAGATTGGTTGATTGGTTGATTGATTTATATTTAATTGAATAAAAACATTTCATAACAGCTTGATCGTAACACCATCATCACTACCACCACCACAACCACCACCCACATCTGCCAATCATCGCGATTTTGTTTGGCCTCAAGCCGGAAGGAAGTTTGAAGCTCATCCGATGACGTCATCGATGAAGCCCTGGCTTGCCTGGATGATGGTACTGACCGTGGGATTCGACTCGTTCTTCTCGTAAAAAGATGTCTGCCTGATGAAGACTACGCAATAATAATAATTATTATTATAATTATCATTAATTATAGTTATAATTAATATTAATTATAGTTAATGAGGTTATTATCAACGACAATAATAACAGCGTTAATGTTAAATGATGAAATGGTGAAATCCAAATTGAAGACCGGGTCTCTTGAAATCGTCTAGGTAGAACTTGAAAGTCATCGCGTCGTTTGATTGGGAGATGTAGACCAGATCGTGAGCCAGGAAGACGAAAAGTGTGCCCGATTTAGCCAGAGTGTCTCGGATTTTGCAATCATATCTCGCCGATTGGTTCGCTGAATTGTTGGTTGGTTGGTTGGTTTGTTGGTTGATTGGTTAACTGGTTGGTAGGTAGGTTGGTTTGTTGGTTGGTTAGTTGGTTGGTCGGTTGGTTGGTTGGTTGGTCGGTTGGTTGGTTTGTTGGTTGGTTGGTTGATTGGTTAATTGGTAGATAGGTTGGTTTGTTGGTTGGTTGGTTGGTTTGTTTGTTGGTTGGTTGGTTGAATGATTGGTTTGTTGGTTGGTCAATCGGTTGGTTGATTGATTTAAAAATTAAAAACTATATTAAACATACTGAATACATAGACACAAAGCAACAAATACAATAAAACTCGATACAATACGAAACGAGACGAGACGAGACGAGACGATACCAGTGGTGTTATGGAAGTATTCCTTCATCCAGTAGCATTTCTGTATGTGGTCTTCAGCAACGTCCAAAATTGTTTCACCTCTCAGTGGGGTCCAGTGAACGACAAATGGATTCTTATACGATATGTTTCCGACAACTGTGTGTGTGTGTTTGTGTGTGTGTGTTTGTGTGTGGCTTGTGCGTGTGTGTGTGTGCTTGTGTGTGTGTAGAGTGTGTGTGTGTTTGTGTGTGTATGTGTGTGAAAAATGTTACTCACTGAAAGACGCTATGTCCAAATATCTGAACTCTATGATGTCATCAAAGTGGTGAACGAATGGTTTGTAGCTGGTAAGTTGATGGGTGGATGAATGTATAAGTGAGCAAATAAATGAATGAATGAACGAACAAATGAACAAATGAACTAATGAACGAATAAACGAATGAACGAATGAACGAACGAACGAATGAATGAACGAATGAACCAAAACACATACCCTGGCATAGTTCCAAATTTACTTCGTTGTGTTTCAAATTGGACTAAAAAAATATATATATATATTTATAAGACTGGTAAACAACAACATCAACAACAACACCAACATCATCAACAATATCAACAACAACATAATCAACAACATCATCAGCATCAACAACAACAACATCAACAACATCAACAACAACATCAACAACAACTAACACAACTCAATCTTTTCTTCATCGTACACCACCAGCCGATATTCTTCCTTCATCGGGGGAACCTTCTCGAAGACTATGATGACGAAATTGGCTGGAAAATTGTTCTGACACGAGAACTCTACCCTGTTGTTGGACTCCGCTGAAGACATGAGGCACTGGGACCATGATTCAATAGTATCACTTCTGTCCGTGTCACTTATGAACATCCTCAGGGATTCTTTTGTGATTTTGTCTAATGAATGAATGAATGATTTGATGAATGGATGGATGATTGGATGGATGAATGAATGAATGAATGAATGAACAAAGGAAAAGAAATAAAAATGGATGGATGGATGGATGGATGAATAAATGATTGATTGAATGAGCAAAAAACATTACAGAAAGAAGTAAAACAAGTTCTCTAACAAATTTTGGTTTCAAGGGTCACGTAATAAATCGACCTATCGACTTGTATTGGAAAGATCTTTTGTATCAGATCAATGTTAGCTGACCGGTTTAATGATGATGATAATGAAGATAACAATGATGATGATGATTTCATTGCTGATGATGATGATGACGATGATGATGATTTCATTGCTGATGATGATGATGACGATGACTCCGACTCCGATGCTGATGATGATGTTGAGACGGTGTTGTCGGTTAATTCCAATTCTAAATGGATGAATGGATGATGGATGGATGGATGGATGGGTCATCATCATTACCTGTCAGTTTTTCATCAGAGGCCATCAGTGACACCTTCAGTGTGTTTATTTTCTGAATGACTTTGTTATCATCGCCAATCATGATAGTTATGTACCTTTAAACGATAATTATGACGGTTATAATTATTAAATATGATAATTAATTATTATATAATTATTCATGATGATAATTATCCATTATAAAATTATTTATGATGGTAATTATTCATTATATAATTATTCATGATGATAATTATCCATTTTATAATTATTTATTATGATAATTAATCATTATATAATTATTTATTATGATAATAATTCATTTTATAGTTATTTATTATGATAATTATTCGTTATATAATTATTCATTATATAATCATTCATTCATGATGATAATTATTCATTATATAATTGTTTATTATGATAATTATTCATTATATAATTATTTATTATGATAATTATTCACTATAAAATTATTCATTATATAATTATTTTAATTAGGCATAATAATTATGGCCAATTTTGCAAAATTTAAAATTCACGAAACCTTCCAACTACTGGGGCGGGCGTGCATTCGAACCTCAGTACGACGTTCCTCACCTCGTAACCGCTGTCCGACGAGTACCGATAGCAGACTTCGTTCATCGGGATCGGAGTCTGTACCGACGGTTCACGGCTTACGTATATCGTCAATTCTTTCACTGTGTTTTCTAGAATGCATTTGTTGATTGAATGAATGGATGAATGAATGAATGAATAAATGAATGAATAAATGAATGAATGAATGAATGAATGAATGAATGAATGAATGAATGAATGAACTAACGAACGAACCAACGAACGAACGAACGAACGAATGAATGAATGAAACACAAACTCCGCCAAACTAACTAGATAACTTATTAAAGAGTGATATTTTGACATCTTTGAGCGCATAGGAGCCCTTCAAATCAACTTGCCAGTATTCACCACCCATGTTGAAGGAGGCCTTCTTCACAATCTTTGACACATCCAAACTTGATTCCGCTTCAAACTTATTAGCCGAGAATTGTTCTGACTGGTTGGAGTTTGATAAACTGACTGGGTTGAAAACGATGGTGAAGATGATGGTGAAGATGATAGTGAAGATGATGGTGAAAATGATGGGGAAGTTGATGGTGAAGATGATGGGGAAGTTGATGGTGAAGATGATGGTGAAGATGATGGTGAAGATGATGGTCTAGATGATGACGATAACGATGATGGTGAAGATGACGACGACAACTTTAAAACAGCGAAAAATTCTCCCCCACCAAACTGTCTTACTTACTAAAACTATTCTGATTGGTGACGAACTGGAAATTTTCAATGGCCTTCGAGCTGATTGAGTTCCTCCCATTTGTAAAGATCAGGTACCTGGTCGTTGTGTTACCGCTAAATTGGGCCACCGCTTCCTCATTTGGCCTGGGAACTTGCTTTCCTGGTTATGGATTAGGGAATAATAATAACAACAACAATAATAATAATAATAATAACAGTAGTAATGATAGCGTTTGATGTTACTGTTATTTGATAACCTGATTGTTCGTAAATTCGCTGGCTGGCGGTCTTCAATGTACCATCTTCTGAGGTTCTCAGGTTGAAACTTGAAATGTCATTCATGTCTGGTAGTAGTGGTTTTAGTGGCAGTTGTAGTGGCGGTTGTGGCGGCGATTGTGGTGGCGTTTGTGGTGGCGATGATGGTTAACAACGCGTCATCAATTTGATCATTGCCATTTTACTCGTCAGTATCTATATTCTCGTACCTCTACCTGACTAACTTATTCACTGAGGCTGTTTAGTGTTCTTGATTCATCAGTGCACTTTTTCAACCACCCATTCATTCATTCATTCACTCGTTCGTTCATTCATTCATTCATTCGTTCGTTTGTTCGTTCATTCGTTCGTTCGTTCATTCATTCATTCATTCATTCATTCATTCGTTCATTCATTCATTCATTCATCCATTCACTCACTCACCTTCAGATCTTTCTCCGGTTTTTACGACCATTCCTTGCAGCTCAACATCTCTTCCCAGGTCTATAACATAGTATCCTTTTCCGCTCTCAATATCCGTTGAAACAAACTTAAAAGACTTGTAATTACTGTCATAATTGTTATAATTATTATAATTATAGTCGCTGCTGTTAGTGTTTATGGAGAAATTTTTAAAACTATTTGCAATCTTTTGCCTCTGCATCCGGCTCATTTCCTCTTCCGTTTCCGTCTCTTCTGAGTAAGTTTTGATGATCTCCTTGAAGACCTTCTTCGTCATCTTTGTTATTGTCGTCCTGTCTGCAAGATAATAATAATAATAAATAATAATAAATAAT